ATAGACAATCTTTAACCCCCCTTTTTGGGTTTAATTAGCGACCGAATAAAAGAAATAATAATTATGTACCTGAGTATATTGCATATACTTTTTTAATAAATGTAGTGAAACTTTAGATATATGTCGCAAACATAGTCCTGACATGTCGAATATAGGTACTTCCCCGTCTGGCAAGTTGATGTCTGTTAGCATACGCAAATCAGAAAACATGAAAAACGTTTTCAGCGAATCAGCGTACACAAATTTGTCAGGGTCTGGATCACAAAGTCTGTAAATGAAAACCTGATAATTGTTGTCTGTATAGTTTGGTAAAGGAACCATGTCTCTAAAAATAATTGATAATAAAGAATTAATTATCGAGAAAAATGTGTAGGTATGCCAAGCATTAGAATTTGTACTAACGATGTTTTTATGATGTTTTGAATGGACGGACTAAGTGGGTCTCTATTTTCAAAAATTTCTGGAGTTTGAGACCTAATTGTAAAACACAAATCTATCAGACCTTTAGCAGTCTCTACGCTGTTATTACAGCAGTTGAGAAATCTTTTTAGAAATGTATCATCTGTAAAAGTTGATTTATAGTTTAGATTTGCAATTAAATAATAATCTCTTTTTTGTAATGTAAGAGTACAAAAAAGTTTTTAATTCTTACTTATATTTTGAGGTAAATACTCTTGCCTTTCAAGCCATTCTCTTAGTGCATGTAAATGATGTTCTTCCTGATCTTTGTCTGGTTTTTCATCCATTCCCATGTTTCTATAAATACAAATGCTTATAATAACAAATCATTCTTAAACTACTGTACAGGGCGTTTTCAATATGAGTCATGTAGAATTATTTCATTTATATTTACAATCTGATAGTTTATAAATTTAAATATTTATAGGCTTTCATATTAAAATAATTAAAAGAATTCTTATTTATTACTCTCATCATTTATACTCACAGAAAAATCTAAAATAATTCGAACAAAGAATTTTTTTGAAATTACTCCAAAAATGAAATATCCTGATATTTGCTTGTCATTTTTCATTAATTTAACTTCGTTCGCTGGGTTTTTGACGAAACATTTTGACAAAACAGTAAATTCAAAATTACTTACACTTGTTTT